TGACCATGTACCAAGGGAGCCGCTGTTCCAAGCTGGAACTAGAGCATGGTAGGTGCTCAACAACTATTTGCTAAATTGAGTCATCCTTTTTTTGTTTTTGTCTTGATTGGGCCAGAATTCTGCTAAGATAGGCTCCAGCTTTTAACATCACTTTCACCAGTGGTTCTCCTGTTCCGCAAGAACATTGGGTAATATCTGGAGACATGTTTGATCACCTCAAGTGGGAAGTGCTTTTGGTAGATAGTGGGTAGAGGCCACGGATGCTGCTAAGCACCCTACACAATGCAGAGGACAGTCACCACAGCAAAGAATTATCCTGTCCAGAATGTCAATAGTGCTGAAGCTGAGAAAAGCTGAGAAATCCTCTTCACCATTTGGCCTTCTTATAGCTTCTTAATTATTTTCTAAGTTCTTACTTTAATATTATCTACTGTAAATATATCATCCTAGCATCTCAAAGAGAAAGGGTATACACTATTCACTGTTGGAATTTGAAATTGAAGCCTTAAAAATGGCTTCAGACCAGGCACAGTAGCCCACACCTGTAATCTCAGCACTTTGGGAGAATTGCTTGAAGTCAGGACTTCAAGACCAGCCTGGGCAACATAATGAGACCCCCAACTCTCCAAAAAAAGAAAAGAAAAAAAAAAACTTTACAAAAATTAGCTGGGTGTGGTAGTGTGTGCCTGTAGTTTCAGCTACTTAGGATTGAAGCTAGAGGGTTCCCTTAAGCCCAGGAATTCAAGGTTGCAGTGAGCTGTGATCTCACAACTGCACTCCAGCCTGAGTGGCAGCAAAAGCCTGTCTCTTAAAAAAAATGACTTCAGAAGGTCAACTAGGGGCAGATTCCAGCCCTCTGTTCTGCTACCATGAGCTCTCCGGATGACATTAAACGCCTTATTTGGAGTGAGCAGAGGCAAAAGATCTGAATAACTTCTCTGATTAGTTTTCAGTTCAGTCATTAGAGATTACAAGATAAATGCCTTTCCTTTCTGGCATCATCTGTTATATCTATTTTCACACTGTTTTTAAAAGGTCGGGTTTTACAGCTAGTGAATTTTTATGAAATTAAATGCCCATATTCAAGAACACTTCCCAAAAAGCGAGGTGACTATAGTTTGCGTTATATTCAATTGAAGGCATTTCTCAGAAGAAATAGAGTAAGTAAGAATATCACCTGAAGGTATATTACCAGCCCACGACCTGGGAGGGAAATGAAAGGTTTCTAACAAAAATGAAAGTACATTACTCTCAACTCTAACTAGTCTGTAATATTTTGCTTCCAGGACAAAGCATTATTATATTCACTGTAACTTCTCTTGATAGAAAAATAGACTTTCTCAGACAACTAATAGAATATTAAACATCAGAATTTTTATTAGTGATTAGGGCATTTAGGAACTCAAATTTTTCTTACAGAATGGTAAACAGCTTTCTAAAAAAACCTTTAAATTCAAAAGCAGTGCTGTATGTAATAGACTTTAAAAGACCTAATTTAAAAATTTGAAGCCTATTTCTTCCATGCAATATGATCCCTTCGAACACTGTTAATATAGACTCATTTTATTAGGCAGCTATAGAATTCTTCAAATGACTTGAGAAGATTTTTCTCTCTCTGTAGAGCTATTTCCTTTTCTAATCATCTGTGTCATAAAGATTTGAGTAAGTGTAAGAAATAGGGAAAACGACCCAAAGAACAACAGAATTATTAGCGATGGGACTACCCTTTCATTTGACAGAATTCAAATGGCTTGTTTAATGGCACTATTAAGTTTCTTTCAAAACAAATCAAAGAAATTTAAGATTTAGGCTTCCTAAAGACAGTCATTTTTGGATGAGTCAAGGGACCTCCAAAAATACTATTAGTACTCACTTTTGAAATCATAAATTTAATCAAAACCCTAGCTTCTGCAATTGTCAGTTTTCTTGGGTCAATATGAGTTGAAAGTTTCCTCTGAATATCCATTTCATAGAATGATGTTTAATGGTCTTAGAGAAGGCTCTATGTAAGCAGGAAACTGACAAAACCTTAACCTTGGAAAATTCAGAGCCCAATTGAGCAGGAAGCAATGTCCTTCAGGTGAACAAAAGAACAATGGGCAGCTTAGAAGTTGTTGGAAATTAGGTTAGCAAGAAAATGAAACAAGCTCACAGGTGTACCTAAGTATGAAAATGCATTGTTCAACTGTAGAGTGGCAATGTCAAACAAAGTTATTCAGTCAGCCACTACCTGAGTGTCTAAACAAACTCAAACACTCTCATTCTTCTTAATCTAATTATATAATAATAAAATCTTTACTAAAACAGAAGAAACATGTAACTTCAACTCACAAATGGAAAAAAGCACTTCTTTCTTCTTGTTAATAACCCAACAGAGAATTACCTTCAATTCTCATGGAGATTATTTTCTGAGAGTGTTTCTATTCTAAGACATTTTCTCCCCTGTAGTGAGAATTAGAAGAGAGATCACAAAACTCAAGTGCCTGTAGGGTTTAGGAAGGTAACACAAAAGGATAAAACGGACTTTGTAGGGACTGGGATGATTTGGTATGATCAGATTTTGTCTAAAAGAGATGGCCATCACTCAACTCCAGCCAATTGTATCCTTCCACGAATGAGATTCCAGATCTTCAAATTTTTAAGACATACATATAAACTTTTACATGAAAAATCTCTAACTTTGAAATACTAGTAACGAATTAAATTTTAAAACAGTACCTTGCTGGCTAAACAAATCCTGTGTCCCTGATCTCATCTGTCAATTTGCAACTTCAAAATTAGATGAAAATGAGCAATTGTTAATCAATGACATTATATTAGTATCACTACTCTTAAGTTGTTGGTGAATTCTTGGGTTCTCCTTAATTATGAAGAATTCTCTCTATCCAGTCTGTCACTGATGGGGATTTAGGTTGATGCCATGTCTTTACTATATGAATAGTGCTTCAATGAATATAACATGTGCATGTGTCTTTATAATAGAAAGATTTATATTCCTTTGGGTCTATAACCAGTAATGGGATTGCTGGGTCAAATGGTATTAATGTTTTTAAATCTTTGAGGAATTGTCACACTGTCTTCCACAGTGGCTGAACTCATTTATGCGTTTACCAACAATGTATAAGCATTCTTTTATCTCCGCAACCTCATTAGCATCTGCTATTTTTTTGACTCTTTAATAATGGCCATTCTGACTGGTGTGGGATGGTATCTCACTGTGGTTTTGATTTCCATTTCTCTAATGATCAGTGATGTTGAGCTTTTTTTCATATGCTTGTTGGCCTCATGCATACCTTCTTTTGAAAAGCATCTGTTCATGTCATTTGCCCACTTTTGATGTTTTTTTTTTTTCTTGTAAATTTAAGTTCCTTATAGCATCTAGATATTTGACTCATATACACAATGGAATACTACGTAGTCACAAAAAAAGCACAAGATCATATCCTTTGCAGGAATATGTATAGAGTTGGAGGCCATTGCCCTTAGCAAATGAAAGGAGAAACAAAACCAAATACTCCATGTTCTCATGCAGTGGGAGCTAAATGATGAGAACACAGGGACACAGAGTGGGGAACGACACACACTGGGCCCTATCAGAAAGTACAGGCTGGGAGGAGGGAGAGGGTCGGGAAAAATAACTAATGGGTACTAGGCTTAATATCTGGGTGATGAAATAATCTGTACAATAAACTCCCATGACAAAAGTTTATCTGTGTGACAAACCTGCACATGTACCCATGAACTGAAAATAAAAGTTAAAAAAAATCTTAACAAAAAAGAATTTTCTCTAAAAGCATTATCACACCTAAAGTTCCTGAGTTAAAATTTCAATGGCTGTTTAAGCTCTAAAACGTGTTGACAGACACAGAGAAGATGTCCTGAGAAAGAAATTTTATGTGTCAGAGGAAGTCAACAGTGTTCAAACACTTAAGATTCTGGCACTTCAGATTCTCACAGGAAAGATAATGGAAATACCGAGTTTATAAAAGAGCTTCTTAAATGACATGGGGCTGGTAGAGGAGAAAATTTTAAGTACCAACAAATACAAAAAAAGAGGCTGTATGTCACTGAGAAAAATGTGGTATACCTTCCTTTACATGAAAAATACCTAATTTAAAAGTATTAGTAGTTAATTTTTTTTTTTTTTTTAGTCTTGCTCAGTTGTATAGGCTGGAGTGCAGTGGTGAGACCTTGACTCACTACAACCTCTGCCTCCCAGGCTTAATCAGTTCTCTGCCCCAGCCTCCCGAGTAACTGGGATTATACGCATGTGCTACCATGCCCAGTTAATTTTTGTAGTTTTAGTCGAGATGGGGTTTCACCATCTTGGCCAGGCTGGTCTTGAACTCCTGACCTTGTGACTCAGCCTCCCAAAGTGTTGGGATTATAGGTGTGAGCCACCATGCCTAGCGTAATCAAAAATTTAAATACTATCTTGCTGGTTAAACAAATAATACTTGGGTGGCTGATTTCATCTGCCACAAAGGTCTTTTCTTCAAGTCAACAATGTTTACAGCCTTTGGGTGGTGGCGAGACATTTTGGGAAATGCCAGCATCTTTCTTTGTAAAGTAAGGCCAAAAGCTTAATATTTGAACACAGCATAATCGCTAGGAAGAATAAGGAAAATTCGCCCTTCCTCACTCTTTTTTCTAAACAATCTTACTGTAAAGACTCAGAGCCAATGTAGAACTCTTCTTCTCCACCCTCAAAACCAAGGTTCACTCTCTAATGTTTTAAGGCCAATGTTTCTGAGACGTTTCTAGAGAATCCTGGTAACAGTTAATAATGACAGTACAGAATGAATTAGCAATGAATCACTCCTGGCTCAATTTTATTTCCCTTCATCATTTTCCATTGGGTCCCTGTCATCTTCAACTTGTTTATCTCCACTTCTCTGAATCAGCAAAGTCTACTCTTCCTACAGAACTGAAATGAGGAAAGGCCAGCAAGACAAAGTGAAACACCTAAACTGCCAGCATGCTCCAGTCCAGAATGGTACCTGTTCAGGCTTCAGACCCGGCGGGACCCAGGCATACTCTTCCAAGGCGCAGCCTGAGTCATCATCTGAGGTCGAGTTCCTCTGAAAGTCAAACATGAGTTTGCTGATGGTCTTCTCCATCTCCAGTGGCATCACTGTCACCATGTGCTCCTCCTGGGGACACTTGCAGTGCAGGCAGATCTTCCTGCAGTCAGTAAAGGTGGCAGGTTAGAAAGAAGGAAAAAGAAACCCTTTTTTTTTTTTTTTTTCCAAGAGCCCGCCAGTCACCAGCCCTTGGATCCCAAACCGTAAACACATTTCTTGGCAATGGGCTTCAGACAAAGGCATCATGGGCAGTGTTCCAGAACATGCCTGTCTTTGCAGAAGGTGTGGCACACGCATGTGAAAACAGCATGAAAGGTCAGAGGCCACCAGGTAAGCAAGCTAAGGGTGTTTACATGTGGACCCCAGCCTTCTCTTCTAAATCAATACCCCAAGTGGAATGGTAATATAGTTTTTATTTTACTAAGTAGACCATTGGATATGGCCCATTACGACAATTTCCTTGATGGAAACACCAACTAAATATACAAAATACATATGCTAACCAGAAACATTACTTGTATATTTAACAAGTACTGATAACATACTGTTTTTATAAAAGGTTCCTAAGCCCTGGAAAATGGGGAAAAAATGGTTTAAAAATGCAGGTAAAATTTTCTTTAAAGAGAAGAGCAAACATACATATTTTTTTTTTTCTCATGAAACAAATCTGGCCCTAAGATCTCATAGGAAAGACAATTTCACCTCCACTAAAGATCCCTGTGGGTTTGGAATTCTAATTAGAAACCCAAATTTTCCCTATGTTGGTGGGTTTTTTTATATACAAGAAGATCATGCATGTGAATTATTTCAAAGGTAGCAGCCAAAGATAAAAATCTCCCAAACAACATTTCTCTTTTAAGGTTACCATCTGTTCTCTTATCCATAGATACAGAAATGATGAAGCAATAAATATGTTGATGTCAGCAACACAAAAGCATTTCTAGCTTCCACCAATAAAATAGATTAAAAAGAACAGAGGAGGAAAATTTTAAGGAAATAAAATATTTCATGTGTACTCTTTTTTAAATTATTAATTTCAGTAGCACCTTATAAAGGTGATATAAGAACCCAGAATTTTAATCCCCAGATATACCTGAATGTTTTGATAACAGCTTTGTTAAGATACAATGTACATACCATAAAACTCACCATTTTGAAGTGTACAATTCACAGACTTTTAATCCATTTAGAATTATAAATCACCACTGTTTAATTTTATAGCATTTTCATCCTCCAGAAAAAGAAACCCCAGGAGCATTGGCAATTACTTCCCATATCCCCTTGCCCCACAGGCTCTGACAACCATCTATTTTCTGTCTCTATAGTTTTGCCTATTTTGGACATTTCATATAAATGAAATCATATAATATGTGGTCTTTTGAAGTTGGCTTCTTTCATACAGAATGATATTTCAAGGTTCATTCAAGTTGTAGCATGTACCAATCCTTCATTCCCTTTTATTGCTGCATAATATGCCATTATATAGATATACCACATTTTTCATTGATCAGTTGGTAGTCCAAAATAGATTTGGACTATACTAACCTATGGCTTTTGTAATACTGCTCTGATTACTTACATAGAAATTTCTGTGTGGATACATGTTTTGTTTTGTTTTTTGAGACAGGGTCTCATTGTCTGCCAGGATGGCATGGAGTGATGCAATCATGGCTCACTGCAGTCTTGACCTCCTGGGCTCAAGTGATCCTCCTGCCTCAGCCTCTCAAGTAGCTGGGACCACACAGATGCATGCTACCATGCTTGGCTAGTTTTTTTGTTTGCTTGCTTGTTTGTTTGAGACAGAGTTTTGCTCTGTCACCCAGCTGGAATGCAGTGGTGCGATCTCGGCTCACTGTTTCCTCTGCCTCCCAGGTTCAAGCATTTCTCCTGCCTCCGCCTCCCACGTAGCTGGGACTACAGATGTGTGCCACCATGCCCGGTATATTTTTGTATTTATAGTAGGGATGGGGTTTCACCATGTTGGCCAGGCTGGTCTTAAACTCCTGACCTCGTGATCCACCCGTCTTGGCCTCCCAAAGTGCTGGGATTACAGGTGTGAGCCACTGCTCAGTCGTATATATGTTTTTAATTCTCTTGGATATATTCCTAGAAATGAAATTGCTAGGTCATATAGCAACTTCAGATTTAACATTTTGAGGAACTGCCAAACTGCTTTCCAAAATCTCTGCACCTTTGTACATTCCTACCATTAATGAATGAGTATTCCATTTTCTCCACATTCTTGTCACATTCGTTATTGTCTGTCTTCTTTTATTTTAGCTACTATAGTGGGTATAAAACAGTATTTAATTGTGGTTCTGATCTGCATTTCCCTAATGGCTAATGACGTTGAATAGCTTTTTATGTGTTTATTATGTATCTTCTTAGAATAGAGAAATGTCTATTCAGGTCCTTAGTCCATTTTTTTTTCATTGGGTTATGTTCTAATTGTGGGTAATAAGTATTCTTCACATATTTTCTGATACGAGTCCTTTATCAGATATATGATAGGAACATGTTTTTCTTCCATTTTGTGGGCTGTCTTTTCACTTTCTTGATGAGCACAAAAGTTTTTTTATTTTCATGAAGTCTAATTTATTTTTGTTGTTGCTTTTGTTTTTTTAAATAATTTCTAAGAAGCCATTGCATAACCCATGGTCATAAAGATATATTCTTACATTTTAATTTGAGATGTATGGTTTTGGCTCTTACATTTAGGTCTATGATTCATTTTGGGTTAGTTTTTGCATATGGCATGAAGTAGGAGTCCACCTTCATTCTCATGTGGCTATCCAGTTGTTTCAGCAGTATTTATTGAAAAGGATAATGTTTCCCCATTAAATTGCCTTGGTACTCTTGTCAAAAAATCAACTGACCAGAACTGTAAGAGTTTCTTCTGGATATTCAGTTCTATTCCAGTGGTCTGCAGGTCCATCCTTGTGCCGGTACCACACTGTCTTAATGACTGCAATTCTGTAGTAAGTTTTAAAATCATCAAGTATGTATGAGTCGTGCAATTTTGTTCTTCTCTTAAAAAACTGTTTTGGCTCTTCCTGCTCCCTTGCATTTGAATTCATAATATATGAATTTTAGGATTAGTTTGTCAATTTGTGGAAAAAAAAATTAAAAAGCCAGTGACAGTTTTGATAGAGATATGCTTTGTAGATCAATTTATCAATTTGAAGAGTATTGCCATTTTAATATTAAGTCTGCCAATGTATGAACACAGGATATCCTTCCATTTATTACAATCTAATTTCTTTCAATGATATTTTGTGGTTTTTAGGCACAAGGCTTGCACTTCTTGTAAGTTTATTCGTAAGTATTTTAGGTTTTTGATGCTATTATAATTAGAATTGTCAATTTCATTTTCAGATTGCTATTGATTAGAAACATAAATGATTTTTATATTGAGGTTGAATCATACAATCTTGATGAAATCATTTATTAGTTGTATTAGTTTAGGCACGTGTGTGTGTGTCTGTGTGTCCTTTCCTTTAGAATTTTCTATATATAAGACCACGTCACATGCAAATGGAGATAGTTTTACTTTTTTCCTTTTCAATCTGATGTCTTTTACTTCTTTGTCATGTCTTATTGCCAAGGTTAGAACCTCTAGTACAATGTTCATTAGAAGCAGCAACGGTGAACATCTTTGTCTTGTTCTTGATCTTAAGGGAAAGCACCCAGTCTTTCAGCATTAAGTATTACGTTAGCCGTGAGTTACTTGTAGATGCTCTTTATCAGGTAGAGGAAGTTCTCTTCTATGCTAGCTTGTTGTTTTTACCACAAAAGGGTGTTTGATTTTGTCAAATGCATTTTCTGCATCTATCAAGATAATTAGTTGTTTTATGTCCTTATTATATTAGTGTGTTGTGTGTGAATTTTGACATAAAAATGTACTTGAAACCAAATCAGTTTAGTCTAGCCAAGTTAGGCTTGTCAGATTCCCCCATTTCCTGCTTCTCATCAGGTCAGAAATATACATAGACAGAATACACACCTTGGTTTTGGCATCTCCATACTCAAAGAAGTTCCATCCAAACCCTGCTCGTCGCTTTTAAAAATAGTCAGAACTCATTTGCACAGTAAGTCTTTAATTAACCAGCTACTGTACAGCGGTCAGGTCTGTTGGGAAGCAGTCAGTTTATTTCCCCCAAGAAATTTTTATGCCAGTTTATGACTCAAGGAAAAAAAGTTTAAATGTATTTAAGGAAATTGAGTAAGCTTTTTGGTGACTAATGCTTTTTACTAGAAAGTCATACTTGAACACTGAAATGTAGAAAACCTTTACCAAATTCAGTCCCAATATATCCACCAATGAAACTCATTTATTCAGGGAATAATTATAGAGGGAAGAGCATGCTAATGCTAGATGGACATGATCTAATGAACTTAGACTCCAGGAGAAGAAATAAAAACAAGAAGAAAGCAAAGGAGGAATGCAGAATCATATCCAGAATGAGCATCAACAAGTAGAAAGATAAACAGAAAAGAGAAGGGGGTAGGAGTTGAAGCTGTATATGGTCATTCAACAAATAACTTGAGGTGGATGGATCACTTGAGGCCAGGTGCTCAAGATTAGCCTGGCCAAATGGTGAAACACTGTCTCCACTAAAAATACACACACACACACACACACACACACACACACACACACACACAAAATCAGCTGGGCATGGTGGCGGGCACCTGTATTCCCAGCTACTCGGGAGGTTGAGGCATGAGAATTGCTTGAACCCAGGAGGTAGAGGTTGCAGTGAGCCCAGATCATATCACTGCACTGGGTGACAGAGCGAAACCCTGTCTCAAAACACACGCACACACACAACAACAACAAACCCAAATAACTGCCAAGCACTAACTAGGTACCAACGCCTGCTCTAGGTACTCGGGTACCTAACCAAGACAAAGATCCCTGCCCTATCAGCCTGCGTTCTCAGAGGGGAGAAAAATGCAATACATATAACAAGCCATTCAATCACATAGTATATTAAAGGCAGCAAGTGCTACAGAAAATCAAAAAGAAGAAGAGGATAGGGAGGGGGCACACGCAGAGCCATGTGAGTTGATTTATACCTTGCATACATGATCCCAGAC